AATAGCAAATATGAGGTCAAAGTAGTTCATTACCCTTGCACCAGTAAAGCTCTTCCTTTCCTATAGGATGGATTGTCTTTCAACCTTAAGAGAAAGGTTTCTCCTAAAATCCCTGGGCATCTCCTGCCAAATATTTAGCCCTTACAGGTGAGAATTTCTGGCAAGTTTCCTAATGTCACCTGTAGCATCACAGATCCTGGTGATGCATTATCTCTATTTGAGAATACCTATTGCTTTTGCGGTCAGACCTTAATGAGTGGCTAAAAGCCTCAGAGAGATTATTTTTATACTCCTAACTACCATGATTCATCCATTTCTATGCTCCAGGGAGAAAAACAGGAAGGAAACACTCAGTAAGACCTCAATTTCGTTTAACATTGGTAATGAACGTCAAGCAAGCTGTGGGAAGCAAAAAAAACCCAACCTCATTCCAGAGTGGCATTTAATAAAACTAAGTGACTCTGGAAAAATAAACTCAGGAGGTGGGTGGCACATGGAAGGACTAATTTGTGTTAATTAGAAGTTGTGAAGGAGGAATATTTTGAAGGGGAAAGCAGATTCAGAATTTCAGTGAACAATGTGATAAATACTAATTAGCCAATTATTTTTCCATAGTGGCAAACAGCTTTCAATGCCATTTCTTCTTCTGCAACTGTCACACCTCCTGTTGAGAGGATAAGATGCACCCCACACAAGCCATAACTATTCTGGCAGGACCAGTTTACCTCCCAGCAGTATCACTCCTTTTTTCTTGCATTTGGTGAGAGCAAAGGAAAAGAGGCTGTTCCAGAGAACTGGGTTATCTAAATTAGACATTTAAACAGAAAAAATGTGAGAGGCTAACTTGCTGAGGCAAAAGCTCAGCATGCTTATGAGAAAGATAAGAAATAGAAACTATTGTGGACATCCCAGCTCAACATCAGTTATGTCATAAGGCTGTCTGTATACAGATTGTCATCTTTTTGCCCTACATACAGAATTTTTAAAGCTTTCAGAAAGCATAGCATTCCATGATTCTTTTGATGGGAAAAAAAAATTAAATACAAAAGCAAAGCCAGGCTAAAATCTGATTATCAGGAGAAAAAGGAGGGAGGGAAAGACAGATATAAAAGATTCAGAAGATAGTGATTAGTATCATCTTATTAAGGCTGTTAAGGTAATATCAAACAAAAACTAACCTGGAGAACCATACTCATGTCTTGGTAACCTACAAATCTTAGGCATCACTTCCATTAGGGTCTTGACATACTGAAGAATGGTCCCTTGTAACTAAGAGAAAACAGATGTATGTAAACATGTCAGCGCTGTTGAACTATGAAACTTTAAAACAAACTGCATTCAAACTATACATGAACTGAAGCAGCTCTAAAAATCTTGCATTTAATTCTGCCAGTCACCATCTTTAAAAAGGCAACTTTTTCAAATTTAAAGACTTCACATGGCATTAACCATCTTTGCTACAAGAAGAATGGCACAATAGCTAAGGCCAGGAAGGTAAAAAAGGAAAATACGTTTTTCTCTTACAGACTCTTTACTATCTAAGTAACTTTTAGGGTTTTGGTTAAAAAGTTGCATTTGAATGCTTTCAAAACCATTCAAAAAGCATCTGAATGTATTCAAAAGCAACATGAAAAAAGCCCTTGTGATTAGGAATGGCTGCAACAGCCCAAGCTAGTTCTTCTGGGCATTCCAGTTGAGATAGTCCCAGCCTGCAGTCAGACTGTCTTCCTACCACTAGACACCTCTCCCTTATCTGCTCCCCTACATCTATGCAGTTGCATCAGGAATTGGCAGGATACCCTCCCCAGGCCTTTTAATCTTCTTTATAAGTGACCAGGTGTTCAATGCCACCTTTAATGAATTGAGACAATTTACCACTAAGTTATAAAAAATTCCCTCTCATAAAACACAGCAAACCAATACTTGACACTCAAACCCTGAAAAACAGAAGTGTTTTCCTCTGTCTCTGAAGATTAAATTACAGCATTTTTCAAGTAGGATTCAGCCTTTCTAGAACATCAAAAACGTACTTAGAACATTGTGGGAATTACTGTAAACAAACTGCCAAATGTGTCAAGTGCCTGAAGTAGGATTACAAACACCACAGCTTTCCCTGGTACAGTTGGATTATTTTGGCAGCATGCTCCTACAAGCAACAGGGAGGAAAATGTAATTTCTTTGGTTTAAATTAACCGCAATGCACTATGGCTGTATATATAGATTCTAATAGTATAGCAAACAGCCAGCACCTCAACCTCCTCCCAGTTCCAAAGAAGGCCTTTTCCAATGCAGGACACCCAGGCTGTGTGGTTAATGTATTCAAAACTGGCCTGAGCAGCACTGTTAATCAAGCACAGAGGTTAAACTCCTGCTGTTAAGGAGTGATGTCATTAATGAGAGCCCTGAAGTTAGGTGGCAGGCAGAAAGCACACTACACCTGTTCTCAAAAAATGTGAATGTACAGTAAAAAAAAGTGAACGTACAGTATTGTCTTTAAGTTGAAATAAACTAATTTAAAATATTCATACGTTTCCAGGGCCTACTTAGGCCCTAACAGCTGAGGGCACAAATTGCATGAATCTCCAATGAAGAATCCAAAGTTTTCAAAACACTGCTCAGGGCACCAAGGCACTTCTTTCTATTGCTCACACAAGACATTGAGTACTGTCAAGCACAGCTTATATCAAATTTCAATGGAAATTATTTTAATTATTTTTATCCAGGATCTCAATTTCACTTTGTTTTTCCTGAGACATTTCCTATAAGAAACCATGTGGACTAGCAGAAGAATAATGACAATTAGCATACCAGGCTCTTGACAACTTTCAGCAATTCCTCCATGACCACAGCAATGCCTTGATATCCAAGAAGTCTACAGATGACTTTAAAGTGAGGGGGACCAACAAAATTCCTGTAGTTGCTGTAAATGCTGGAATATGCCAAATTCAATGCCTAAAACAAGGAAAAAGATATGATTAATGAAAATTTTGTCTGCCTGTAGCTCAATAATAATGTAATTTGAATATAACTTTAAAGTACATTAAAACTGAAATAAAAACTGTGTATCTCACTGTCTTTGAAAGAGGTTTAACTATACAGTTTCTCTTTTGGCAGTTTCTCTTAAGGCAGGAACTTCAACAAAAATCTCTCTATTAGGAAGACAAATTTGTAAGCACTTTTATTTCAAGCACACATCTTCCATTTATTATTTATAAAGCCACAAACACTTTCTCTTTTGTACTTTTCTATTTACACAAGCATAAAAGGGTAAAAGTAGTCAATGCCATGTCCAGATCCCTGAATTTAAAGCACAGCTTCTATTCCTTTATCTTCCATTTTATGCGCAAAACATCTTGGAAGAAACTACCTCCATTTTCCGTTCATAATAGGTGTTTTAAGTCTCTGAGTACTCAACTACAAAAAAAAGCCCTCTCTACAACTAATTAATAAGGATCTTTCCTTTTCAAACCTGTATACAAGATCAAAGCAAAATTAAGTCCGGGATATAACCTCATAGAAATTCTTTGTAAAAAAAGATTTGTATAAATAGGACCAGGTGCTTTGCCACCGTCATGTTTACTTCCATGAAAGTGAACACAGCTGTACAGACTGATGTGATGTGAGGATTTAGGAACTGCTTGCTGAAGGTACAGATTAGGCAGGGTTGACTAACTTAGCATCCTCCAATTCTGCAAGTGGGTTGTTCTCCTAATAACCTGAAATCTAATTTTAGCAGGAATCTTGGCCACCTTTCTTTGTGTGTTTCCTACAGTTTTTTCAAAATTTCATTCTCTCTAATATGCACATGGAAAACAGCATACTGTTAAACTTCCAACTTCACACACAATTGTAACAGAAGATTTTCCATGAAGAACATTTTCTTCAATGCAGATCCTGCCCTAACTACCCATGCAAGTCAACCAGATACTGTAAACACACGGCATTAAGCTAATTGGAAATCAATTCAGAAAACTCTACCAAGCTCTTGAAGCATTTTATTCTCACAAAAGGACTTAAAAATCATCTCTTGAAGCAATCAGAACAGAATATGCACATTTTTATTTATGTTGTATGTCTCTATATAAACACCAGTTTCCAACTGAGGTCTTAGAAATTTAAAAATTCTAGATGCAAACTGAAATAGACACTTGGATAACTATTAGAATCCTAGTATATAACACAGTCCTGCTGTTACGTCAGAGCTGACTAAAAGGCCAAACTCCAAATGTGTCCCACCAGGGGACAGCCTAAAGCTGCATCCCACTAGTACCACCTGTGCATTTCCATAGCTCTCCACATACAAAAATGAGGTCTGGGGCAAAGACAGCAGAGAGAACTGCTAAAACCTTAAGAACATATGTGCAGATGAATGTTCTGATAAACTAAGGACTTACACAACTGCCCCTAAAAGATGAGATTTCATTTTTTGGTTTTGATGTTTCCAGTTAGGTAGCTCTCCTACAACAAACCTGTCAGAACTATCTATTTCAGCTACAGCACATGGAGAATTTTATTTTAGTGGGTTAAGGCCTTTTGCTGCCATAAGGTTAAGGGGAAGGAACTTCTCTTCACACAGCAGGAATTTGTCATAGAAAAGCAAGTCCCAAAAACATGATTTTGGTATTTAAAGCATTTGTCAATACATAACAATAAGAAGCCAGCCAATCTAAAAATATACCCTACATGTAAACCTCATGGGGAAGTACCTAAAATTCACAGTCCACCTGTAAACATTGGATTAGTGGATCTTTCTAAACTGTAACAAGGAATTTAAAAAGCATTACACTCCAACACCACTTCCCCCCAGTGAGACACAAAGGCACAAAAACCTTAGGGAAGAAGCCACTAACTAGAGGGGGGTGGAGGTGGAAAGGGAGGGAGGGGAAGTTGCTGATCATTATTTTTTAAGCTATACTTGCTCCCTCCCCTACTTAAATTTAAAAAAAAAAGAAAGAGTTGTTAGTTGCTGATGTCATCAAAGTGCTAACATTAATCACTCACAGCATCACTGGTCCACACACAAGAGTATATAACAGGGATGCTCAGGCAGCATACTGTCAAGGGGAGGAAAGCAAGAGAGTGGGGAAAAGACACTATTTTCTTCTCCTGTGTGGTCTTTGAAAAGCAAGGCAACAGCATCTTTAGACAAGATGTGCTCTTGCAGGAATTTAAGTGGAACAGACAAAGAAATCATGCCACCAGCAGCATCAGAGAAAAAAACTGAAATCACCAAGCAATAAGAATTCAGTCCAGAGATTCTGAGGAGAAGAAAAAGCAAACTGGCAAACAAAGATCAGTCAGGAAATAATTCATGTAGAAAGGGATACAAAAAAATTGTTGTTTGCAACATTTCACAGCAGCATCACCATAAAGCAATTCTGTTCTGGAATTTCCATCAGGGAGCGACGGTAAGTACTGACTTTATGATCCATAAAACATCAGATGGCTTCTCCAAACATTAACATGTCAGTAATTGTGTGTTTTCTAATAACTGATGGTTTGTAACAATAGAAATGTATTATTGTCATTTAATTACAGTTCATTCTACTTACAAAATGCTAGGAGGATTAAACTGTTGAAGTTAATCATTCCTAGGCTGTGTTAAAAAGTGTTCTAAAAAAAATAGATTATAATTTTAAGTAATAGGGATCTACCAGTTAAAGAGAAGGTAACTGAGGAAGTATAACTCTGATCTCACTAATGCACCCTATTATAATATCTGCAGTAGCTGGGTAGATGCCAAAATGTGTCTGTTTGGTAAGTTTATCTGATAGCAAACTCAGTTCCTTTATAATGTTGCTGTATTAGAAAGGGTGCCTTTACCACAGAACTAGAAAAGCAGCATCTACTCAGATCAGTCATATTCATGGTTTTACACTGTCATGAAAATAAACATACATATTTTTCTTCCCACTTCCCAGTAAGTAGAATCCAAAACCCTTGAGCAACAATTTTCATACATAAACAGGCACAGAATTCTTACTATTAATGTAATGTCACTATCTAAATCCCATTAAAAATATCCTATAAAATATACATTTTCCAAGCCTCCTATCTAGTATAAAATACTTGTATTACAGAAAAAATTCAAAATATGTTATAAGCAAATCTCACTATATTTCTCCCTTAGAAGAATTTTTAATAATTAATTGTTATTTAGCAAGGAAATGTAACATTTTAAACTTGATCTTAAAAAAAAAATATTCGATTTAATTTTCACAACAAAGTCATAAACAATGAAATACAGTGTTACTGTCATGGGCATTTATAGCCATTAAAAAAAAAAAAGAGAAACTATCAAAGTGGAAAAAAAACTTCCATGAGTGCCACTAGAAACTGACAATCAAACTAAGGGATCAGATTGAATTGCTGAGGTAAGTTCTTTTTCAAAAGTTACCATCATGACAGTAAAAGAATAAAACCCAAGCCAAACAAATGAAAATACCCACTGGTTGTTATTATATATTTTTAAATAGATGTGTTTAGAGAAATTGCCGAAAAGAGATGTTTTCCTTTCACTATTCATAGTGGTTGCATATACTGAGAATCTCAAAATACTGGCAGATTTTCTAATTTGAATTGAGGACGAGGAGGAGTATAAATTCAGGGCAGACAGACTATGGGATTACATAAAATTACTTAAAACAGCAGAGAGCATTAGTAATTTTTTTTAAATCCCCACTATTTATCCAAAAGGTAGAAAATAGTGAAAGCTGTATTTCACTAAGCTTGACAAAGCTTTTCCAAGAGGCTGACCAGCATCATGACTAAATATTGTGATACTGATACCACCAATGTTCACAGCCACTGCTGCAGTGTAGCTGCAGCGGCTACAGATGTGCAACTTACCAGTAAAACAGAGAGTATCACATAATCATAGAACAGTCTGGCTTGGAAGGGACCTTAACGATCACCTAGTTCCAACACCCCTGCCACAAGCAGGGACACCTTCCACAGCTTGTCTAGGCATCCCATTCCAGTGCCTCACTGCTCTCACAGCAAAGAATTTCTTTGTAATATCTAATTTAAATATACCCTCTTTAAGCTTAAAGTCATTCCTGTTTGTCCTATCAATATCTGCCCACATAAAAAGCCCCCCCCCTCCAGCTGTATTGCTGTATCTAGATACCAGAAGGTGTTTTAAGATCTCCCTGGAGCCTTCTCTTCTCCAGGCTGAACAGCCACAGGTCTCTCAGCCTGTCTTCATAGGGAAGGTGTTCCTATGTGAACTTGTGAATAAGAAACTAACATAAGATATGGGAGACAAAATAATACGTGGTCAGGTTTCCACATACTCTTTTGTTCTTCAACTGATTGTGACTGGCAAAAATAAAGACTTGTGGATGGTAGAGGCATTTATTCCTCAATACCCCTCTTGCCAACCCTTCTTCCCACTTAACCTAAGATGCAAGATACACAGACTAGAGAAAAAAACACCTGCTGCATTTTTTTACAATCACCTGGGGGAAAAAAAAACGTGAAAGGGAGTGATTTTCCAATTGTAAGTTCTGCAAAAAATCACCATCTCTCAAGATACAACTGGTCACTCGTACAGGCAGCAGCTCTGGTTAAATTTCTCTAACTATCTTTACCCTTTCACTTGGAAGAGAAATACACATTTTAAAACACCCCAGACTTTATGAACTTTCATTCCCATTTTTACAGTGCAGTGCCAAAGATGAGAGCATACTTTCCTAACAAACTCCATTCCTACATTACAGAGCATTACGATTAAGATCCAAACAACATCCTCAGCGCTGCAGCTTCTCCAAAGAACATCTTCCCTTTCCACAGGGAGATCAGCATCAAGAGAGGAAAAAAAACCTCCCAAGCAACATCCTGATGGGAATAACCATCCAAAACATCACAGGAAACACAGCAATGGTAATTTGGCCAAAAATGGCCAGTTGTGTCGACAGCTTTTACAGCATCATGTACCACCCTAACTGGAACAGCATGCTGTCCAGCTACTCCAGAAAGAGCTTTCAGAGGGAAGAGAGGGTGCCCACCACTCGTTCCTCCTTTGTTGTCGAAAACCTGACTCCCCTCACAACATACATCATGTGCGTGACCTGCCAGTCCGCAAACCCCTCCAGCGACCAGTGCAGAGTTTTTAACACACTGGAACGAGACCCAGCCTCGGCGAGCAACACCAAGAAAGAGCTGGCCCTGGGCATCTGGCTCACCAGCAGCGTCCTGCTCCTCACCATCGCCGCAGTCCTGCTCTACGGCTGCCTGCACCTGCTGTGCCGCAGGAGACACCAGCGCTCGCAAGAGCGCAACAGGACCTCCAAACAAGAGCATGAGGAGCCATGGACCAAAAGCGCGGCGCACGCCTCAGATGAGCTCAGCAGGCAGAGCCAGCACACACAGGATGCTGAGGAAAAGCATCCAGGTGGCATCCAGCTGGCCACAATCATAGAGAATCCCTCAGTGTGCAATGAGCCCATCGTGCCATCTTCTAAAAGTCAGGAGCAAGTCCCAGTAACGGGACAGTGCTCTGCTATAAAATAGAAATGTTTTGTCCAGGAGAAGATTTTTGCTACATAAGGTACCCAGCTACTTCAAATGCATCACATGCACTGTTGGTGCTCACAACAGGGAGCTCCAACTGCTCGCTGCAGCACTCCTGGATGTACCTCTGATATCACACCCTTTCCAAAAGCTTGTATGCAAAGGTCCAAACGCCCAAGAAGTGAGCACTTCAGACACCCTCCATTATTTAAAAATGAAGCATGTAGCAAGTAATTGGTTTATATTCTAAGGAGATTTTTTTCATTGCTATTCTTTAGCCTAAAACAGCAAACAAATATAAAAAGTAACCAGAAGTGACCAAAATAATTTTTGCTAACTAGCATGAATAAAACTGAGTAGGAGTTTTCAGATGGCAACCCAGACTGCTACACTATAGGCAACTGGAACATACACACAGAGTGCACTGGTTTGCCAGTGTGAGTTTTACCCTGACAATCCCAGCTGCTTCCCAAAACACACACTACAAGCAGTACTATACTTAGACAACACAATTCACTGCCCATGGTGTTGTCCATCCCTCCCATCTGCACTGAGGTCAGTCTTAGAATGTAAGAATGTAATTAATTGTATCCTCTCATCTGTCTAATTTTCCCTCAGTCTAATACATGCAAGATAGTGACTTTGTAAGGACATGTCTAATTAAGGAAATATCCTGGGTTATTTCATTTTGCACTCTTCTGCTCCCACCACAAGCTACCTTCTGCTCCATGGGCCAGAGACTCCCTGCAGAGAAATGGAATTCAGAGATGCAGCTCCTGGCTCTTCCTTTTCTCTTTCCCTTTCAGTTTTAATGATAACATGTGTTAATCAGCTGCAAATTTCTTTCCAATTGCACAGTACATTCTGTGTAATGAAGGGGGGCAAAACAGTAAAAACATGCCAAAATGCATTTTATTTTTGTAACAAGAAAACCTGCTGATCATCTCACTCTGCCTTGAGCTTCATGGCAAAGTGCCAAGGTCCTTTGGACAGAAATTTGCTCACCCTCACAACGTGACAAGTGTTGTCTGATTTACATGTACAAGTCACCCTGTTTAAAATCTCTTAAGTGCATTTGTGTTCCATTAAAACCTAATAAATCTTAGTACTGCTGTATATTATGCCTAAAAAAACCAAAGGTGCACCGTGACTGCAGACACTTAATTGCTCTTGGTGGGAATGTATGTGTGAAGTCAGCTCTCTCTGACACAGCTCAGTTGTACCAGTGAAGGCTGGAGAGCTGCTGGCTGGGCAGCTGCCATCCCTCTCCACCGGCCCTGGCAGCTAAGGGGGGTTACAATTTTGGCAGGAGAGCTCCCCATGAATATTTCACAGCAGGTAGCGGATCTTTTCAGCTACTCTATTTTGACAACAATTCCCACGACTTGTGAAATGCATCGACTCTGAGTGCTAAGGAGAAGCTGGCATAAGTGTGATGAATCTTTCTTTACATTTTTTTTTTTTTGAGTAGGATAAGCATGACACACGGAACACTTGCTGAATGGGGGCGTGTATGACTTTCAGAAAACACTTCAAAAGGCATTTTTATTGTGTGATGTTAGCAATAACGTGTTCTCCACCTGCTGCAGAGCACTTCCTTCAGCTGACATGTTTTTCTTTGTCTTGCACGTCAGTCTCAAAACTGTGAGAATAACAGTTCACTGCTGTTTCAAATGACAGTGTTACAAGAAATAGGCACTGAAAAACCCTCATCGGAGCATGAAGCCAACACGACAGGATTAGTGCCATAAAGGGGTGCCTGGGTAGCGAGAACAGAGAAAATGTTTTGAAATTATCTTGTAATCAAATTAACACTAACACTTCTCTGATTAGGTTTTCATCAAGAAAAATTATTTTAATATTAATGGGATGAAGCCAAGAGACACACAGTCAATCTCTGCTAACATTTTGGGCTCTTGGAAACCTGTTTACTTCCCTGCATGTCTGTTTCTTTATGTGGGTTTTAAGGCAGTCCAATACATATATAGACATACATTTATATTAAATACACATGTACACACCACACCAAGAACAAGGAGCAGTTCTGCTTAAAGCAGTTTTGAGGCAATTCACCTACTGCATTTTGTTATTTATACACAAACACAAATAACCAAAATACATGCCTATATGTGACTGAGAAGGCAAAGAGCTACCACGGTAGTGCCTCCCAAGGGATTTACCTTCTCTAAATATAAAACCATGCCACCCACAGTTTACTGTGCACTACTAAGATAAACATTTATATCATCTCACAAGCAATGGACCATCTTGCAGCTGCTGCAAATGAGCAATTCATGCAGAGTGTCATCTGTTTTCTGCTCTAGTTCTGAAAAACTCATGTCATCACATGCTCACAGAACTACATGATTCTTTGTTTCTTGCTGAGAAAGTTTCATTACAGATTATTTCAGGTTCATTCAGGCAGTTCTGTATTAGATTTGATTATTCACTACTCACTATTAACAATCATCAAGTATGGGGCAAACATTCCAAGTGATTACTAAACTGATAGCAAGTTGCAACATAGTGCAAACTGACTTTAATTTGTGCACCAACAATAGATAAAAACTATTATATTCACAGTGAGAAGTATCTTTCAAACATGTGTTTTTCACAAAATAAATGAGTTAGCATCTACAAAGTGCCAGAGACATAAAAACATGACAACATTTGGAAAATGTTGTCTAAGACAGAAAGAAAGCCTTTCAATTCTGGTCTACGCAACCTCTATAGAACCAAGTATTTCATGGAAAGTTAGTTCAATTCCCCAGAAAAGATACTTTCTTATATGTATATTATAAAATATTTAATGAATTCACCCAATGTTGCCGAATTCCAACCTGCTAACATTAAGATCATTAATCCTACACGTACTTTACCTGAGTAAAGGGATTTCAGTGATCGTGCTCAACCAAACTTTTAAAATAATCCAGCTCACATAAAAGGCTAAAGAGCTTTTGCAGGCTGGCTACTTCCCACCTTGACAGCTCTGCTTCCATATCAACCAGAAGAAGGAAGCTGTATGTGTGGGTTTTTGTTTTGCTAATTACATGAAGATACCACTCAGAAAACTTGAGGTGCTAAAGAGATGTTACTACAACTCTCTATGCTAAGTATCAAGACTCAGTAATATAGACCAGATGCTTTGATCCATTTAGAAATATCTGGGAATATGTGAATGCTTTGAGACACAAACAAAAAATTTCTTTAGTTACTCCTGTAGTAGTGCAGCCTCTATAATGTAAGAATTCCTATCTGTACTGGATATATAAAGTAGAAATGTTAAAAACTCCATTCAGATATCCTCAATTTCAAAATACATTTAATTCAAGAATAAAAATATGCTCCTGTTCAGATTTAAAACTAGAGAGAGTCATGAGTATTTTCTAATGTAGGCCTATCTAGTTATGAAATTTGCCCCAGAAACGCAAGTAAGACCTACCCCCTTGATTGCTGCTGCTCATACACAAAAATAATCAAGAGTTTTGAAAATGTATAGCTCTCAGTGTGAAGATTGCTAAATTCATTTTGTTAATGTAACCTGACTGATAAAAAAAAAGGGTACCCCAGTTAATCTTCTGTCACTCACCCCACTGTATCATCACTTAGATAAATTAAGTTAGCAATCTCTATGAAATTCAGTCAGGTTTTTGTTCTATGCTGCATCTGGTCAGTTCCTAAAATAGTAAGGAACACAATAATTCTAATGTAAGAATATACCACTTTCCTATAATATACTGTTCCTTTTTGGAGAACAATTACATAAAACACTATTTACAGGAGCAGACAGTCAGCTGTTACATTCCACATTAAGATATGTAAATCCTTTTCTACCTCCTTTATATTTTAAAGGCATGAAAGTTCTACAAATGCAGCAGATATTTTAGCATTGAAATTCGTAACTGTTGAGATATCTCAAAACCTAGATTACTGGGTTGAAACTGCACCATACAACTATGCTATGATGTGCAGAAAATAAGAGTAAGACAAGGACTATGTTCATGCTTAAGCAGGGAGTAGATACTGAGAGCAGCCACCCATAAGACTTACAGCTCACTTGCATAAATTAGATGTATAATTGAGTACATATTTTAAACAATTTTAAATAATAATAAATATTTTTAAGCTTTTTTATTGTCCACCCTCTAACTTAATCCTTATATTTTCATTTATCTTTTCCATACTTCAGCTTGCCACCCTGATATTCAAGAAAACATTGCAAAATTTAGAGTGACACCTTGTTATATAGTCGCAAATTATTTGCTGAAGAAAGCACTGCTGATTTTTACTGCTGTTTGAAGTAGATCAATATTTCTGACTACATATTAAAAATGCAAATATATTTTAATGTACTATGTCTTTAACTGTCATTAAGAAACAAGTAATAATTCTGAAGAATAAGAAAATAAATCTGCAGTGATCAGGGAGAACAAATCTATCACACATGAGCATAGCATTGGTCCTGTGAGTACAGGCTAACTTTCCTCACTTGGGTAGCCCACAGCTGTTCTCTTGTGCCAAGTACTCTTCCAGCCTGTCACCCACACAAGCTTCTTTCCAACCTCAGTACTGGGGATTGCCATAGGGACGGAGTATGTGACTGCACATCACATACCCTTCTATTGAAAACTTGCACAAACCTTCCCAGCCCACCTAACTGCAAAGCAGGAAATATGATGCTAATACAGAAGATGAGATGGCCAAGACACCAAGGTCATCGCTACAAGTTTGCAGCTCTGGGGTTGTAGAGTCCAAAGAAACATTACATAAAAAAAAAATAAATTGAAATAGTTAAGTATCTGATAGTTTAAGATGGTCAGAATCTATAGTACTTTTAAGTCAGATAACATCTGAAGCAGTTTTTCCTATCTATTCCTTTTTCTTCTGTGATCACAGTCTTCATCACTGGAACAAGGGAGAGCTGCACCCAAGACAGACTCTTGTTCTCACTTTACCAGATGAGTAATTAATGAGTAATTAATCTTTACTTTCAGTCTGCTCCACCACTGTAAGCAACTGAACAATGCAAGGTGTTTGAGAGAAGAGTTTATTTTTAGCTTTGTCAGATAAGACTACCCATCAGACTAAGCAACTGCACTTTGGCTGAAACATATGGTGAGCTTCACAGCAAAATCTTAACAAAAGCTTATGTTCAATTTAAAATACACATAAAATGCATTTCAGTCCATTTCTAATAACTTTCATATACCATAGTTTCTATAGTTTAAAAAAATTCCTTTAAACATTAGCAAACCATAAAGATAAAGGGAATTAAATCCAACCTTTGATCCATAGAGATACTGTGGCTGTGCATTAGGCTGCTTATCACGCTGAAACTCCTGAGAAAATGGCAGCACAGTCCGAACAAATCTATATAAAAAAATAAAAAGAAGAATTCATTATTTATACTTACGTGAGCAGGTGTACAACTAATGCACCCTACCCTGCAGAAGACTGCTTTTGTCTGCATATACAATCAAAGCCAGATCAGCAGCCTTTTAGCCCAAATAGAAACTGGGGAAGCACACAGCCTGAATTGCCCAAAATCATGGACACAAATCATACTGCAGTTCAACAATTACTGTTCTTCCCAAGGTGTGCAGGATCCCAAAATATTCCTCACCACTAGCCCAGGCCAGCAAACAGAGAAGTAACTAACAAAGTAGCAAATAGCCTCTCACAGGGCATAATGTGGTTGCAAAATTAAGTCCTTGAGAAAGAAGTACGCCTTCAAAGAGGAACATGGCATTTCTGTTTAATGTTTCAGAGCTTTTTTCCCCCAAAATTCACATCAGGGGAAATATGTTAGATGTTACATTTTTTTAAAAAGTCAGGAGGAAGATATAATCTTTGCAGCAAAATCAATGTTTCAAAAGTTTAATCATACTTCAGTGTGAGCATGTACCAACACAAATCATGCTTAGTTTTACCTTTGTATACAGTTAAGAGGATGGCGAGAGAACTACAAAGTTATGGAGCACTGCCAAAGACAGGATCACCCATCCCACTCACAACTGAGGGCACCAGAGTCTGAAGGACCACTCCCAGTTCTGTTGTGAACAAGCATCACAAATCTTCCCCCTTGTTCCCCGTGTAATGCACATT